TTTTGGTGGTCTTTCCTGTCTGGGATTGTAGCAGTAGGTCTTGAGGCTGCTCCCAGGCAGGGAGGTGGGTGGCATGGGGCTGGAGCAAGGAGACAGGACCCCCTGCTTCCTCTCTTTGCTTGTTGGAGCTGACCTCCTGAGAAGGCAAAGTGCTGACCACAGATCTTCTCCTCCTCCTCCACTCGCTCTCCAACAGTAATGCACATGTGCTTTGTCCATAAATATATTATTTTGTGTTCCTGCCAGCCCAGACTAATAGGGCTAATGTTTCCTGAGGAGCAGCCCAAAGCTACATTAGCCGCAGATGTTTGATTGATTTAAAACAAAGAGCCTGACCGCCAAACTGCTCCATATGGTTTCTCTTCCTGTCACTTTGCCTGCAGGGTTATCTCTGAAATGCAATTAAGGTGCTTAAAAGTACATTTTCAGGAAGATGCAGAATTGATGAGGGTGGGTTTGCCGATGGGTGCCTCCAAATTGTTAGAGCAAGAGCAAGGAAAGTCATGCCCTACCCTTAGCTGCTGTACACATGGTTTTTCCACTTATATGAAGACCTTAGGGGGGGCAGGCCAAAAAATGCCCCCATTGTAAAGACTTTGCCATAGATGTGCTCTGCCAGTACTCATCTCTCTTGATATTCTGCTCATTTATTATTGAAGTCAAACATTTCTCTAATCAGATATTTACTTGTGAACTTAAGTGCTGCAGAGATTTCGTTCAACCTCACCTCTCCTCCACTCACTGCCTGGGCTCTGGAGATGAAACCCCTTGCCTGTGCAATTCAGGCAGCTGGGCTGAAGACCCAGTGATGCTACAGAGGACTAGCCAAGCTCTGCTTGTCATTTGCTGGGAGGAGGGTGCCAGCCCTGCCTGCTCACCAGGGGACTGACACTGCCTGTGGACATCCACTCAGCCACTGCAGACCCAGCCTGCCAAGCCTGGCTGCTGAAACCATCCCCAGCTCCCTGTAGGGCTGAGACCCCTGCCCAATCCAGCTCCTACCAGGACCACAGCCTTGTACGCCCTGAGGGGGTTGAGGAGAGTAAAGGAAATTTATGGCTTCTTTGGTTTTAATGCACAGAGTAGATGTTTATAGATGAAAGAAGCGTGTTTCTGTGTGCCAATCCTCCGTCTTCCTGTCAGTTCAGCTGACACAGGAGGGCAACAGCCCCTTACACCATATTTTTAAAAATTTAAATGCTTTGGTTTCTGAAAACAAACTTTTTTAATCCTTTTCCATGAAAAACTTCCAAAATGGGTGCCTGATACCTGGCACCTTAATCCATGTCTTGGTGTGTAAGAAAAGGCGAATGGGGTAAGTCACCTGCAGTGACCTAAGGCACAGACAGATCCCCTCTCTGCACCACAGACAAAAAATACCCATGGATTTGAGAAGGGAATCCCAAACCATGGCAAAGAATTAATACTGTATCATGGAAAACAGAAATAATTACTTTGCAACAGGTCTGAAGATTCATGGCAACGGTACACGCTGTAAATATACAGCACTGCAGGATAATTATCTGGTGCTCAACTCTCTTCAAACTAGACCTCTGTTAACCTTGTCCTCACCTCTCTCAGAATTAAAATCCAAGGTAATTCATCACAGAATTTCTTGGTAACTTCAATTGCTAGGTAGTTTTCAAGCACATACAATTACCACACCCAATTAATCTCATCATGAGTCTTAAAGCCAAGTTGTTAAATGGGCCTTAGATCCAAATAAACTCTAGTACATATATATATATATATTTATATATTACATAGATATATATGTAAATACATGCATGTGCGTGAGTCTGTATTGCAGAGAAGGAGAGCAGCTCTCACAAATTCATCTTTCTGTGTCACCTGCTTTGTTCTCTAATTAGGCATTTGTAGAAATACTACCCTGGCTACTGCATAGTCCCTAAATTCACATACGTGATCACCACTATCCAGATCTTTGTAACTATTTGAAGTTTTTCACAGAAAACCGATTGTACAAACAACACCATATTGCACAGTGTTTATTTTCTTTCAAGGGCTTCCAGAGCAAATGTTCTTCAGCTCCAAACAAGAGGAGTAGCTTGCTTTCTTTTTTTGTCCGTGCTGCAAAATCAACCTGAGATATGAAACCTCAGCTGTTTTCTCCTCCTGGCTTTCATATCACTCTCAGGGAAGGGAAACAAGGATTAGAAGAGTCTACCCAATCTTTGCTACCCTGAAAGACTGATTACGCAAATTAACTTAGCCACTTTCTGATTCATGCCTACGCTCCTGAATATCAGTAATAAAACAGCAGAAAGGCTCATTCCTTCTGTGTGTGTGGGAAATGGGAGGGTTTGGTCCTTTCCAGGGAGGGTGCAAAACACACTGCTGGCTTGAAGTACCTTCTCTGTGGCCTCGGCAGTGCTGGGTGGGAATTTCAGCAGCAGGAGGTTCCATCTCTTTCGTGGACACAGCCCCAGGCTGGCTGTGGTGGCACACTGAATGCTCGGGCAGGCTCCTGTGTGGAGCATCCACCCACATCTGCTGTTCCCATGGGACAATGTCCTTGCCAGGGCTGCTGCAGAGTCCACCTTTGAGGGCTAATAACAGCATGGCCTTATTAAGCTGCTTGAGGGTAACATGCAACATGCAGCTCATAAATAAAAAGAAATTTTGCCGTAAAGGGCTGTATTTTTGGCCACTGGCACAGACATTAAGTACCTGAGGCCCGTGGTGCTTGGGGAAGTTGTTAGAACAATATGATCAGTAACCGGAGTCATCCAAGGTGACAAAAATTCCTGCCCAACTACTTGCCATGACTATAATCTGAAGACATTTCCTTTGAACTGAAGACCCCCACAGGGACCCAAACACTCAGTTCAGAAACCTCAGAGCAAGAGGAGTGGAAGCGGCCTGTACTCTTCCACACTGAGCACGTCCTTTAGGCTTCAAATGCACTTTACAGAAATTATTCAAAATAACTTGCTAAAATGGACAGGGAGCAAGATTCATGGAATGAAATTTGAGAAAAAGGTCTAAAAACTTCTAGGAAAAGAAAGATGATATTTTCCACTCCTGCACTCTGCAGCTTTGCATTTACATACAAGGTTGAATCTGTAATTTCCTGCTGTTTCTCCTTTCTTCTGATAAATATTTCTAAAGAGAAGTGCCAGGAACATTGCCAGCCAGGCAAATGTACTGCAAGACATTATTTGTAACGCTCCTCTCCAACCCCTGCAGACAGCTGTGTCCCCTGCCTTCTTGCCCTTGTAGGGCTTGTGCCTGAGTAATACCTGTCCTTTGATGTTGCTCCTGGTGCCTGCTGTGCCTGACATCAGGTTCCCTCTTCCACCTCTGGGACACTCCCGTTGCCTTCTGTGCAATAAATAGGAATTTATTCAGGAATAAAGCCTGATCTTCCCTTGAATCTGCATCTCTGGGAAAACATTGCTGAAAAGTCTGTGTGAGCAACTCCTTCCCAGATGGAGGAACGGATGCAAGCCTGGGACCAGAATGCTGCGAGCAGCAGGAAATGTGGACATGTTAATGGGAAATAACCATGGCACTGAGCCATTGCCCACTTTGGACCCTTCTCTGAATCCCCTCTAAGTTACAGCAAATTCAGCTGGTTCTCAGAGCTACGCTTTATCTCCCCTCTGGGAGGTTTCTGGGTCAGCTGTATTAAAATGCATTTATTCTTAAGGGGGTCAGTAATCTGACACAATAGTGATGTACGAGTGAATGGGGAGAATAATAAATTTCTAACAGTGCAGAAAGAAGAATCCCTGAGTTTTGCTGTCTGTAAAAATGGAGCATGGGATCTGTCACTTCATGTCACGACAGCCAAATTAAACAAATGCAAGATGACAGGAGGAAAAGAAACAAAGGACTTCTATCCAATTACTTCCAGAAGCATATTAAATTATGGGTGCGCTTGCTTTTGTGTTAGTAAATAAGTATTTAAATGGACCTAAAATTCTTCATATTCTGAAACTTGGGTTTATCTGCATAGGAGAAATGGATGCTGTGGACACTTGCTCCTGAAAGGGAAACAGAGGACAGGCAGCACCTTTGCCAGAGGCTGTAGGTTTCCATGTGCAGGTTCCATGGCCAGGAAGGGTGTTGAGAAGAGCAGTAGGGGCAGTGAGAACACCCTGGGCATCTCGTTTTGGATGCCTCCATCACCACTGCTGAAGCAACTACTTGAGGGTATCACAGGAGCCCTTGAGATGAAGATAGCAAGCAATAGCTCATTCACAGCAAGGGGCAGACACGAGCCACATTTGAGTAATTCGAAAGTCCAGCCTGACTAGGAAAAGGTGAGCATGGATCTGCCACTCCTAGATGATCTCAAGATCAAAGTGATCTTTTTGATCAAGTCTGTGAAAGGTGGACTTGATCAATGCAAAGGTTCCTCATCAGAAATGCGGTTTGGAAAGACAAATCCCGGCAACCTCTGGCATGTCTGATGTGCTGTGCTCTGGCAGGTGGTCAGAGCAGGCTGCAGCAGGGCTGAAATGCGTCATGGTGAAACAGGAGCGTGAGTCAAAGACACTTTCCCCTGAGTGCATACAAGGAAGAGGAAGGTGAAAGTGTCAGGAAACATCAGGACACTCGTGAGAGAGAGAAAGCAGATGCTGAAAGACAGCAGTGAGCAGTGACAGACCATGATCAGGTGCTTTCCCAGAGTTCAGGTAGCCACTGCCACAGCCTGGGTACCTGCCTGAGGAATTCATGAAGGATCCAGCAGAAGATGGCCCCAGCCTGGCTTGCATAGACAAGCTTTGGGAGCCCCAGGGGGAAGGTCAGTCCTTGGGACCCAAGGCATCCGTGCCAGGACAGGAGTGCAATCCCAGTGAGGTGAGGAGAGGTGCATTCCTGAGAGGAGCAGGACAGCACCGCCACAGCTTTTGGGCCATCTCCATCTCCCCCAACATTAAACAAAGAAGGCAAAAATGAGAGCTGAGGAGGGTGGAGTGGGTGGATCAAAGCTCCATACCCACCCACCTCTGGACCATCCTGGCCAATGCCTCTCCAGATATCTGATTTGCAGGTGGTGCAGCTGCAGTGGTGGGTCCCAGGCAAAGGTAACTCACTGTTGGCCAGTGTCTCCCGTGCAGGAAATGGGCAGAAGGCGAAGGAGCAGCTTCAGCTTTTCTCTGGTGGAGCAGGGAGGGCAGCAGGTAAAGGATGCCAGGGCAGAACACCTGCTTCAGACCTGTGCACAGCAGCAGCCTTGGCCAAATTCTAGGCCTATTTAGAAATAGTTCTGCCATGTTACTTTTACCAGTGCAAGGCCAGGGGCGTCCCTTTTTAAGGAGAACTGCAAAGGGCCTCTTTGGATTACAAACTGGCGTGACCAGGCTCTTATATCTTTGAATATTGAGGCCGGGAGGGAGGAAAAAAAGAGAAGGCCAAATTCCTTTGTCACATACCCTGCTCTAAGTCCAGAGTAATTACATTAAATGTAATGAGCCTCCACGCTTCCTTCCCCACTCCCACTTGGGAACAGTCATTTGTTGCTGGCTAATTCCTGCAGCAGCCAATGTACTTACCTACTGCATTGGCAGAAGCCTCCTGGCCAGAGAACCACAGAGAGCAACAAAAGCTGCTGCCTTGCCCTGCCTTCTCCTTCTCCTCTTCCTCTTTGCCCAGGGAGAAAAGAAACACTGCCCCTCTATTAAGGCATCTAATTGGCAAACATTAATTTTATCTGCACCCAAGCTCGCTGTGACTCTCAGTGGTGCTGCCAGACACTGATTCACCACTCTGCACCATTTTCCTCTCCATCTACCTGAGGAAGGTTCTTCCACAAAGAAACACAATTCAGTAGTCGCCTGCAGGCTGGTGATGGCCAGTAGCACTCAGGTCTCCAGACCTGCAGGCTGAGAAAGTGGGGAAACCACGGAAAGAGAGGCTCTGTTTTGGCTAAAGGGAAGTGGTGAAGGGAAGAGGTGCAAAACCAGGGAGCAGAACAGTCTGACCTTCCCAAGGCCAGGAGTATATGAACAGTGCTTCAAGCAACATTCAGTTTCCTAGACCCCAGGCAAAGACTTTCCTGCCAGTCCAGGTCATCCCACTGCAGCCCACACAGCAAGATGCTGGGCACCAGGAAAGCATCCTGCCAGCCTGGCAAGTCTCCTCCAGGTGCAGACACAGGAGACCACAAGCAGCAGATAGAGGTGATTAATCTTCCCACTTTGTGTGCCATAGGTCTGATCCCTGCTGGGCTGCTTGCCTGCAATCCTCATCACCTGGGGATTTTATGGAGCTGCACCTCTCAGAAAGGAGGTCTTTTCCAGGGAGCTGTGAAGCCATATATAATAACTGCACGTTGCTATTATTAACTTGAGCACCTGGAGGAGGTGACAGCAAAGGCCTTATGGAGGTGATGAGTAGCTGTATTTACGCCTATCAGTTTCACCAGAGGAAGTTTTGGGGCCTTGACATAAGAGCAAATCTGCCTTCAGCACCTGGGCCTCCTCTCTGCTTCTCTTCCCCAGGCAGGCAAATATTTTCAGGCATGTAAATTAACTCTTTTGTGCTCAATCCCACTGTGCATTTAAAGCATCGGGATTGGGATGCATCCATGCTCAACACAAAGCAAGGGAGGGAAAGAGGTGACATGCAATTCCACCCTCCCCCCACAACAGCAGCATTTGAGGAGAAAATCCTCCAGAAAAAAAAAACCAACCCATGCTCTGCTTTCTTCTGATGGTGCAGGCTGGTTTGTGCTGTCTGTAATTGTAATCAAAGTTAATTTAATCCTGGTGTGGAGGTTGCTGAGCAACTGAAGACATTTATCCAGAGGAGACAGGGGCTGTAATCACGTCACCTCAAGTAAAGGTGGTAGGGCAGCCACATAACACTGCTAGTGCCCAGGGCAGAGAGCTGTGGGTCACAGGAAGACACTGGTGTTTGTGGTAGGTACAGAAGCCAAGGGAAAAGCACTAAGGTTATGCCAAAATTGTGCTTTCTTTCGTAATACAGGTTGGATCAGACCAGGAATAAGGCCCCATATGGACACCTCACATGAAGGCACAACCTCCCAGGGGATGAACAGAGAGTGCCTGTCTGGCTCACAGACATGTAAGCAAAACGGTGCAACGCCAGGAAAATGGTCAGCCAAGGCGGTTCGTGTCGCAGGTGGCCCCCTGACACCGCGTTTGTCAAAACTGAGAGCGCTGGGCTGTGCTATCGCCGCCAGCGCCTCAGCGACACCGAGCATGCAGCAGCCAGAGCCCGAGGGAGCTGGCCGGGCCAGGGGGGAGACGGCTCCCCTGGAGCTATCCCTTCTTCCGGCGCTGGAGAAAGGCGGGAAGCTCCAGCCCTGCCGGAGAAGCTCCTCTGAGCTCGCAGAGAGCCGGCCTGGCAGGGCCCCTGCTGAGCCCTCATCAGGGCCGGTGATGAGGAGATTTCCCGAGGTCGCCTCGGTGGGCGCCTGCTGCTGCCGGGGCCAGCCTGATTAAGTGGTTCGGCAGGGAAGGAGGGGTCCTGCCATCAGCGCCTCAGCAATCAAGGAGGACTTTTATTTATTTATTTATTTTTTCCCCTCTGCTTTTTCTCTTTTTCGTTCTAATTGTTATTTTCTCCAGAACCAAAGAGCTTTCGTGGAATTTAAAGGCCTGTGGGTGCACCGAGGGCAGGAGGAGGAGGTGGTGGCCTGCCGGGAAAAAGGACCAAAGCGTGGTGGGATCCCAAGCACACCAAGTGCCTCCTTACCTCAGCTGCTTCCTCCCATCAGACCCTTTTCCTTTGGAAAAACAGATCCTGCGGAGCCACCAGGGTCCATCTCCTGCTGCACTGGCCAGGCTGTCTCTGAAATAGCAGTTGTATGGGGCAAAAAAGGAATTATTTTGCTTTTCTAAAAGGCATATTGGGTTTCTAGCTGAGAGGAGGAGCAGCCTGATGGCTTAGGTGAAGACTATGGTTTTTCAAAGCAGAGCTGTCCTTGAGTATATTGAAATGACCAAAAATGTGGACGTATGGCAGGGAAAAGACAACACACTGAGCAGTAGCATTGCTGCGTGTCAGACCTTGTGAAACGGTGGCAGCACAGCACAGCAGGAGAATGGAGCAGGTAAAGCCTAGTTTCAAGATTTCCCAAAGACAGGCTTTTCGAAACCACAAATGCCGTAGCAATTTATTTAACTTTTTGCTTTGTGCTGCCAAGTGTGCTACTTTTTCCATAATTTTGCTCTATTTTGTAGAATTCTTTAGGTTGGAAGAGGTGTTTAAGACCATTGAGTCAAACTCTTAACCAGACATTGCCAAGACCATCACTAAATCATGTTCCTGAGTGCCACATATACATGGTTTTTACACACCTCCAGGGATGGTGACTCAGCTGCTTCCCTGGCAGCCTGTTCCAAGCCTTGACAACCCTTTGGGTGAAGAAATTTTTCCTCACATCCAGTGTAAACCTCCTGTGGTGCAACTTCAGGCCATTTCTTTTTGTCCTATCCCTTGTTACCTGAAAGAGGAGACCAACACCCACCTCACCACAACCTCCGTTTAGGTAGTTGTGTGTTGTGCCCAAAATGGGCAATATTGAGTTGTTAGTTTTCAGTGCATAACAGCCATCTCTCCTCCCTCACCTCACTCCTTTCAGGGGGTACAGGCTGTAAGTGCATGACGTACTGGGTGTTCACCTGCCTACCACCCACCCCAGCACCCTCCAAAATGTGCCCATTCCATGTGGATGTGGCTCTTCCTCACTGGGGGAGGTTGTGCTTCTGCTTGCCAGCCAGGGTATTTGCCAGTCCCCACTGCTCATTTGCTTTGCTTCAAGCACTTGGTGGTGACGGCAACACTCAGAGTTTGCCTGCCCTGGGGAGTGCCAGGGAAGCTTTGGGGTTCTGTGCCAAGCCAGCCAGGAGAAATGCAGCAGCCACACTCTGCTGGGCTCAGGGCATGCAGAGCTCCTCCGCAGGAAACCTCGGACAGGAGGGAAGGGTAAGGCGGTGCTGAGATGTGGCTGTCAAAAAAAAAAAAAAGGAGGGTGAGCAAAACCACAAATTAAAAACAAAAATCCTGAGCAATTTTCTTCTGGGGAAATTAAGATGCAGTTTTGATTAAATTCCACACCTCTTAGGTTGTCCAAGCTTTAGTTTCACGCCGCCAGTTTTGGTCAGTCCCGGTGCTGATGGATCCAAATATGAGACCTTTTGGAGCAGTTCCTTAAAGGAAATGGAGAGATGAAGAAATACAATGCATTTAATGAAACCCCACTATGGAAGCAAAAATAACCACCAATGCACAACTCTGCACAAGACTATTTTCCATTTTCTCCAAGGACAAGCCCCTCTGAAGCCCCACCACCTTTCTGCAGTGGTTTTTGGCAGATGGTAGTCCAGCAAGAGCCCCATCCTAATCCGTTCCTGGGGTTTTGAGGACTTGCACAGGCCCTGCCTAGGCCTCATGGGTGAAGTTTTCCCAAGGGAACTGAGAATACAAGACCTACAGGGATTTCACCAGGCAGCACACAGTCTGTGTGGCACATCCTATATCTCTTCAGCACTGTGTTGCTCAACAGGGAGAGAAGTGAACCAGTGAAAGCATTCCCCTTCCCACAAAGAGATTCAGAGCCTGTCCTCAGGCTTTCAAGTTTACATTTTTTCCTATGTTACAGGGTTGGGTTTTTTTGTTGGTTTTTTTTACTATGGAGGAGATATTAATTTCATGCTTGGCTTGGCTCTTGAGCCAGGAGCATTCTCCCTTCTGCATCATGACATACACTTTTTTCTCCACATCAGGAGCTGCTGAGCCATTTCCCCTTCCTGGGGCCATGGGGATGGGCTGCAGACAGTAGGTTTTTATGACTGCTGAGGGGTTGTTTAGCACCACATGGAGACAGCCACCCACCTCCAAACCTGACCCCATGTGCTGACTGGTGACATCCCCGTGCTGGAGTCACCCCACTGCGTACAATGTAGAGGAGAAATGCAGCATATCTCAGCTTTGCTTTAAACCATGTTTCCCATGATAGAATCCAAAGTGTTATTTGATTGTGCTAGAACCTGTTTATATTATTTTCTGGGTTCTTTTTCCTGAATACTTGTCTCAAAATCTTAAGCCTACAGAGCCTTGGATGGTCCATTTGCAAAAATAAATCTATGTTGTACGCATGCCAAGAAAAATATAATGTTTATTTCTTTCTTAATTTTTCTAAGTGGTGTTTGTTCCTAACACCTTTAAAGCCCTCTGGTTTTCTGAAATTTCTTTCTTTAAGTCAGTGAGTACAGAGAAAGCAAATGCAGAAGCAGCAGTTTCAGTAGCTGGCGAGGCTACTGAAGATTTATGCTGACATATACGCTGTGCCTATGGCTGAATTAATAGTGCCGCCGAAGCATTTGTATTTTCTGGGGGTTTTCACTCTGACATTGGAAATGGAAGCACAGCCACACCTGCACACAGAGAGTGTGGATGGAATGTATATGGAATTCATCTGCAATTCTTACTTATTCTCTAAATGAGATCATTGTTGAGGTTACAGGGAAATATCACCTAACTCCCCTTTGTTCCTACCCTACATAGGTGAGGATTTGTCTTTTCTGTGGAACAGGTCTTCGGACCAGTTTTACACCAAAATATTTTCATTGTCTTCAGTAAAGTTTATCTTCACTCATCTCAGTGTAATTGATGGCAGAATCTAGCCCAGACTGAGGAATTTCATTTTTCTCCTAAATATTTTGTTGCTTGCTATTTTAACAAAAGCTAAAGTAGAAATATTTTCTTCCACTGAAAAATATTGAAAAATAATTTTCTTCTTTCACTTCCAAAGTTCAGTGTATTTCAGAGCCAGAATTCAGCTTCCCACACAGCAGCGTGAACCACTTGGAGATGTCAAGCAGTCTATTCATTGCTCAGATTGTATTTTGATGCTGCTCAGAGTTCCCAGGTAAGAAAATACATTCAATCATTTATAGCTCTGAACCAGAGCAAAAGACCAGTGCCTTAAAGGGAAAAGAAGGAAGGAAAGAAGAGATGTAGGTTGTTAAGTGAAGGTGGAGAGCAAAACAGATGAAATTGATAAAGTGGAAAGCTATATTATTCACTCCAAGGCTCCATTTAGTCCCTCTGGCCTGGTAGTTTCAGCAAAGTGAAACTCTTGCTGGAATCAATACTGCTATCATTTCACAAAATTACAGTGGTTTGAACAGAAAACTAGTCATAAATCAACTTTGTGCATGGACAGCTGGAGGAAATATTTCTTGCTTTGAAGATTTGGGTGCTTCAGAACTAGTAAAGAGGATCTTGGCTCTCTAAGAATACATATTTACTGCATTTCTTGGAAATAGAAGCTGCTGTTGCATATTCAAACAAGTCAAAATAGCAATGTGAAAAAAGGCAGTGCCTCCATTTTAATCAGATGAGGAAAGAGCGTGCTGGATTTCAGTGAAACTCGGGTGTTTTGGAGATAGTCCCATTCTCTGGCACTCACTAGGAGTTCCTTCAAACTAGGCTAAGAATGTGTCCTTGTTGCTTCTTTTTCAAATGCCTAACCTAGATCCCATAGATTTTGAGAGGCTTTTGAACCTCATTACTTTCAGCTTAATGAAGTTAAGTCATTTTTAGTCATTGCCACAGGAAGATGTCCAGCCCTCAGCTTCCAGGGAAAGGGACTGGACTTGAAGACTGACTTTGTCTTCAAGGAACACATTTTAGGAACTATTTTAGAAACACATCCTTGAAGATCCTTCAAAGAAAAGCATGACAAGCACAGCTGATGCCCACTTCAGGAAGGTTTCACTACATTCTTCTGTGTTTTCTTTAATAATTCTGAAATTCAACATTTTCTGTTGTTCTTGTTTTCCAATAAAGTTATGTCAGATGGCAAGAAATTATCTGTGTGGGTGCTGGAAGCTTCAGAGATATAATGCACAGCAGAAAAGAAGTAGGGAAGGATAATGTCTCCACATCTACTTCCTTGCTCTGGACAGAATAAACATCAGCCACAGCTCCATGATCATCGGCTGGCCAGTGCATTAAGCATGAGGGACTCTTAGACATTCCTGTTACAGCTGGAAGCCCTTTCCTCTTTTCCTGTGAGGCAGAAACGAGTGGCATTGGAGCCAAGGCAGAGCTAGGAAGGCTGCTGGAATGAGGCAGCCCTGCTTGTGAAACCACCCCAAAGCCTGAAAACGTCCCAGGTTTCTAAACTACAGCTTCTATCAGAGCTTGGTCCTGAAGTGTCAGACCTTTGGATGTGGTGGCCTTTGCTCAGCCCTGCTTGCAGTGAAAAGGCCAGTCCACTGTGTCCTGACTGGGTGCTGCCAAATTGAAAAGTGTGAAGATAGAGCATTTGCTAATTTGGGATTGCATCTGGGGTAAATCTCTGCTTGTTTTCCCTCTAAGGTGCCTGTGAAACACACATTTGTGCAATATCTAAGCACCGTACAGCTGTAATTATTTCTAATGGTTTCCCCTGTCTCTTGCATTTAGTGCACTGGAATTTTCTCTTAATTTCAGATATTTCTGAAAATTGCTTAGCTAAATTTGAATTCATTAAAGACAGCAATCATCATTATTTGATAAATAGCATCATTAAATCCATTACACAATAAAATATTGCAAATAAGAGCACAAGTAAATATTTGCAAGAGTATTCACACTGTATTTCCTCTCCTGGCATTTTGAAAAGCTCTTTTATTGTCTCACAACAAAATTGCCAAGTAGCTACAAATGCTCATGCATCATCTGCAAGCAAGGGAGAAAGAAGGCTGCTGTTTAATAAAATTTGATTCATCCAATCAGGGAAGGGAGGGAACAACGTATGATGTGAAGAGCCAATTGGGTAGCATGTGCTCTGACGATTAACACCAGCCAATTTGCTAACGAGACACAAATAATAATCCGTAATCAAAAATAATTCAAGTGACTGAGGCGAATAGACACACTTACTTGAACCGTGACCTGTTCCTTACTTCATCGTTGGGAAAAAAATGGGCTGTGGGTGTTGGGAGAGCTACTTGTGAAGGACTCAGACGGCTCGGTTTCCAGATATTTAGAAATCTGGAGAATGGCAGGGCAGGCTGGGAAGTGCCCCAGGAGAGGCAGGGTGACTCTGGGCAAGGAGAGGAAGAGCCTGAGAGTCTTGGGGTCATATAGAGAGGACCTCATGGAACCCCACTGAGGCTGGTCCTCACCTCCAGAGTGCTTTCTACTGCCGGCTTCCCACTGCCCCTCTGAAAAGCAAGCAGAGAAGATGAAAAGTGCCTTCACCTCCAGAGAGGGCTCAAGGGCAGCAGTGGTTCTGTGGGCCCCTTGTCCAGCTGCCCGTGTGTGGTGTCCTGTACTCCATGTGCTCTGTTGCTGCTGCCCCAGGTGCAGGCACTCACTAGCAGGGACATCCAGCTGCCCACAAAGAGGGGTGGGAAGGCAGCAACAGGATTTTACAGCTTATTTCAGCCAAATGGTCACGCTTTGGAGCTGAGGCACAAGTAACTGAGCAGCCAGGACACTTCCCTAACGCTTAACAAGTCAAGCTCCGCTGCACTGGAACCGAGTCAAGGAGGCAGGAGCCATTTAATTAGACCAAAGCAACTGACAGCCACTCTGCTGTAAATCTTCCCTTGCTGCCTTTGAGGTCTCTGGTCCTCTGTGTCTTAAGAGTAAATGATATCTCAATGATGGGAGAGAAGGGAAGAAACATGCCTCTGCCTATTGCTCTGCTGGAACAGGACAGCAGGACTTGTAAGGGATCAGCTCATGGGCCAGGGTAACAGTGCGGGGCTTCTACCCAGGTTTCTTGGGTACCTCTAAGATGATACACAACAGAGAGAGTCAGTTAGAGACTCAGCTGTGGTTTTGTGCATGAGGAGGAAGGAAAACACCTTTGCCACCATGTTTGCAAAACCTCTCTGCTGACCTGAACCAGTCCTTTCCATAGGCTGCTCCGTCAACACCAATGCTGGCACCAATGCTGAAAGAGAAAAATTGTATTAGGGTAATAATGGCATTCTGGAAATGCATTGGTATCTGGCCTGATAGTCATGTGGGATTTCTTTTCCCAGTCTGCTTCCCCTGTGCCTACCAAAGAAATTAGTCTAGGAGTACAAGTAAGCTGATGAAATTTGGTGAATACTGACATAAGGACTATTTTCCCCTACCATGCTTCATCTGAGGTACATTAAAGCAAATGTGTTCACCTAATTGCTTATAACAGTGAGCAATGGGCATTAATTGGTTGCAAATGGCAATAAAATTGTGCCTACTATATGTCAGGAGTGGATCAGAGCCAATAACCTCACAGGAGACAGAAAGGACTGACATCTCCAATAAAGAGATCCCTGACTTATCTTCAGTAGCCAACAGCTGCTCATTCCTTCAGATCCCATGTCCTGTCTTTTTTTGCAGAGCAATTGTTAAATATTTCTATATAATATTTTTATGCAATCTACACTGCAGAGTGAAGCTCTGTCCTCAAAAAGCAGCCTCACGGCTCACTCCTGGCCACTGCTGAGTGGTCTGGCTCCCCTTGGCACTCATGTTTCCCATGCTCCTGGCAGCAGAAGGCTCCTCCTCAGCATCATTTCCTCCCATTCGCTCCTTTCCATGCCATGCATGGACCATGTGAGCATTAGAGGGATGTTGCCCAGTTTCCTCACAGATCTCTTTCTCTTGCATAGGGGCATTTTCCTTCTTTGGGCCCCCCAAGTCCCTGTCTCCCCATGGTTGACAGCAGTGTAGACATCCCCTCAGGGTGGTCACTGCGTGGGTCACATCCCATCTGTCTCCTGTCTGCCTCCTGGGGAAGCCTCGAGTGGCTGAGATGGGTAAGAGATCATCTTTTAACAGTATTTGGGACCAATCAGCCTCTTACTTCTAGCCTGCTGACAGACTCCCATCTCTAGGTCAACTTTACCGAAATTTTTATTTTGAGTTCAGGCCCTGACCCCACAGGATGTATAAGGGCATTATCTGGATCTGGACTCTCTCCTGCCTTCTTTTTTTCTTATTCCTGTTGTGACATTTTATGACAGCATCCAGACAGCGCTGAGGACACTGTGGTTCACAGAGGTCCAATCCTGGAAAGGCATCACCTTCCCCTCTCTAAATCACCCATGCTGCAAACTGCTGGCAAGGCAGCGAGCTGCAGTGATGCCATTTCTCTGCTCAAGAGATGTGCCACTGTGAGGCTGCAGGCATGGCACGGCTCTGGTGCTCCCATTCCTGTCCTGCTTCTCCCACCATGTGGCATTTCCACCCATACATTATGTTGATGCAACCAAGCTACAATACCTTTTGTTGGGGAATTTTTTTTCGAGTCTCCTTCCGCAGGCCAGCTCTTCCCACACACATTTAATTTTTGTTTTGCTCCTGAAGTCATTCTCCTGAATTTTAGGAGCTCATGAGAGCTTCTACCAGCTGACAGCAGAAGGTATCTGCTCATCACCCACTGCCATGGCTGCTGGCATTCACCTACCCTTTAGCTCCTTCCCACAGTATCCTTCCAGACCACAGAGCTTTCCAAGGGCTTGCTCCTCCCATCCTGCTGCCCTCAAAGCCCTCCTCTCTCAGCCTTGGCCCCTTCCCTGCTCATCACCACCCTTCCCTACACCTCTGAGTCATACTCACTCTCACTCTGGTGCTGACCAATCCGGCATATCAAGAATATCCCTACAAGTCACTGAGTCACCATTTAAATCTGATATTAAGTTTTCCTTTCAACCTTTAGCCGGTGCATTCCTTATCCCATGAAGCATTAAGTAGATACAGTGCATTCAGGCCAAAAAAAAAAAAAAAAGTGTATATATATATATATGTATATATGTATATATGTATATATGTATATATGTATATGAAGGAGGGGTGCAATGTTGCAATGCATAAACCATCACCTCTTGCCATCTCTCGCTGCATTTTTTCCTGCTTTTTTCACCAGTGGCCTTATGTAAAAGGATTTGCAATTGGCATGTGGGTTGAATGATAACCTTTCAAGGCAACTTTCCTGAGAAGGGTGCAGAAAGATCAAGCCCTCTGCCTTTATAATGGTCCCTTTTTGAATTCCTGAAGTAATGTGTGCCTAAGGCCGCTATACCCAGCTGTGCACAGGACATTACTGTAGTACCTGGATGGACACACATGGGGAATTAGGAAAACCTGCCTTGGCCACTTCTGGAAAAACATAGCCTGAGCACTTGCCTTGCCTGGGACTTTGGTTACTCCTGGCTGGTGGAGGTTAGCTCAGTCCCTAAGCTGCAGTATTATGGAAATAAAAGTGCTTCAGGAAGGCAGGGAGATGGGGTGGAGGCAGCTGGGGAAGGGCTGCCAACATCTGGCACAATGGGCAGGACCACCAAAACATGGTAGAGCAGCATCAGTGGGGGCAGTCGGAGTGTGCAAAGAGTAAGGCACAGGGACTTAGGGACTTCTTATGGGGTGGTGTCTGCTGCTCCCCCCCAGGACTTTATCCTGTTTCCCTGCCATAAGGCATGGTGAAGTCCTTGAAGCAACTGAATGGCCCAGGACTGATTTGCTGTAGTGACAACTATTTGGCCCAGCCCTTCAATAAAATACCTTAAGTAAAGCAGTGGTGAAGGTGGCCTGCTGGTAAAATCACAACCAAAGACATTGCATCAAACTCATCAGCACAGAGAAAGTCACTTTTCAACTGTTTTCTACAGCTCCTCTCACACAGACACTTTACAGTGACAAATTGTTTTCCCTGCAAATGTCTACACACAGCCAGGCTGCAAGTGCAGAGAGACATCTTGCAGAGTAAGGCAGGGCTCTGCTAGGTCTGATCCAGCCAGGCAGTGCCAGGAGGCCACACCACAGCCTCTTGGGTGGCTTCAACCTTCTCACAGTAGCAAAATTTAATAGGCCAATAATCACAGGGTGCTGGCCAGACCACAGCTCTGGCAAATGGCATCAGCATTTCCCGGAGGTACAGCAGAAGGTCGTCCAAGGAATTTCCCAACAGACAAGACATTTTGAGATGAATTTGGGATACAATGATCATCATTTCCAGACTCATATCCTTCAGGTTCAAGGAGGCTAACCTCCAGGTTTTCTCCTGGCTGTCCCCTCCCCAGTTAGCTCTCTAAGGCTCAGGCATTCGTAGTTACTAATTTTGCCCTGTGTCAGGGCGCAAGGCATCCACGCTTTGCCATGAAGTACTACATAGTCAAAGCATGGCTGCAGCAAGCATGAATTTTTATTTTTGGTGCTTACTCTCCCTGGGGGACCTGCAATCCTCCCTCACTGTGGTACAGAAGGCGGTAAACAAGCGGGGAAAGCCTAGGCAAGCAGGTGTTCTTCTCTTGTCTGATGATTTGAAATAGTATAGACAGCACTGGCATGTATCTGAAGCACAATCATTATATTTCCATAACTTTATCTGCAGAGGACATAGGAGTTACAATGCAATCAGTGCTATACAGTTTAAAGTGTAGCTGAGATGTATTATAAAGTCAGCTGCAGCAAGGAACATATGGTACAGCTTGCCACCCCACT